AAAAGAGTCTCAAAAGCCTTTTCAACTAAACTTAATGTTATGAAAACTTCAACGAGCGACTTTAGAAAAAAGAAGGAAATAGAACCCTCAAAGAACTTATTAAAAAATGCCTGAAACAGCGGAGGCCTGTATTCTAAAACTTTTCTCAGCTTACTACCGTTCGTCGTTGCGTTCATCTTCAATAGCACAAGAGTAAACCTACAACCTAACTTATTCGTATGCCGGTCGAATAACGAATAGAGTACGGTATAAACCGCAGACGTGTGCGCCGGTGGTAAATCGAAAAGCGAACTTTGCGGTTGGGTCTAAAGGACAGCGGGGAGCGATGCGACTAGCGGGTGACCCTCCCTCTTGTGTCTTTATTACTTTCATCATCAATTGAGTTATTAGTTAAAATAACAATATCAAACGAACACGTCGTTTCAATAAATTTATGCTTTGAGTTTAAGGACACGCAATTTATAATTCAAAGTTGGCTTTAGTAAGTACCTAACTTATCGTCGATCTCGAGTAATTATTTTCTAAGCTAATAAAGTTATATAGTATAACTAGCAAACCCCGCGAACTCCGTTTCGCCACCAGATGGCTTCGTTTTATGTAACATTTCGTTTGGTGATTAAAAGAAGTTTTTTTTTTAATTTTTCCTGAATTTTCTATAAACTATAAACCTCACGGAGCCCGAGACCTTTCCAACGAATGCAAAATCGTGGAAATCGGTTCGTGCGTTCTGGAGTTATAGCGTCAGGAAGGAAAACCCGACTTATTTTTATATAGTAGATTTCTCTTAATATATTTTTTGCTTGCATTACAACGTCTAATTCGTGATCTATCACGATCCAATGTGAACAAAATGATAGTAGACTTTGAATCTAACTTACATTTTTCATAATGAACTCATGCACTAACAATAGTCGATATTTACTGTGGATGGTTCAAACAATCCCTTCAAATCCAAAATAGGCGACAGAATACGTTTTAAATTAAAACAAAGGATTTTTTATTTCCGCATTGATGTTAACAAATGAACGTCAGTCGGACCGTCGTCGCTAAGTTTCTCTCAGTTTTCGAGCACACAACCTAAAGGGGATCTGCAGTAAACCCTGTTTGAAAGTCACGGCGAATGCAAGGACCGAGGTCACGGCATCTCATAAATAATTTAAAGTAATCCGGAAAAAAAGTATCTTGTCCGCGGGCGGCGGTTGAACGCACATGACTATTTGATGTGGCCGGTGTGCCGTCTTTGAATAAAGGCACGAGTTAAGTCTAGGCATTGTTCGAGAGATACACTCGTATATGTTGCGCCAAACTTCTTGAGCAAAATCATAAACAAATAAACTTGCACATTAGACGTTTTTGTAAGTAAAATTACTACTGCGCAGGCTTTCTTGTCTATGGTCAATGCTTAAGAAGTTTACCGGTAGCTATGCCTACTCGCGGCGGCTTGGTGTTAAAACATAAGCGTATTACGCACAAGTCGGTATTGGGATAGGTCGATACATTATTTTATTTTTAAGTGAAAACTTCTTTAGGGGCGTTGTACACTTTTTTTGTATGGGTAAAAAATGTTAAACTCGCGTCAGGTTAAACACGTGGGCTGATCGCATCAAGATACACAATAAAATTGGAAAGGTTGTTGACTTTCAGTATATTGGACGAAACATAGTAATATTTTATTTTACCGTATTATAATAATAAGTCTCTATCTAGGACGTCCACATCGCAGCTTTATTGCGAAGAAAATGCATTTTCTACAATTGATGTAGCTAGGTGCGCTTATTTTTTTTTTAAATTCCGCTTCCCCACTCAGTGGCAGGACTTTTTCTTTCTTTTTTATTTTTGTCTTTCTTTTTTGAGAGGTTTTCTTTTCTCTCCGTCATGGTCTTTTCTGCGAGTTATTCTTTTCTCGTTTATATTCCTTTAAACTATAAATTTTTACAATTCTTAATTTCTATTACATTTTGTATCATATAATGTTACTAGTTTATCTTTATTTTTACAAAGTCTCTGCTATTTAATTTCGTACAAATTAGTTTTTCTTGCTTATCTATACACATATTTCTTATTTTTATTTTTACTTCTACTTATGTTATATATTTTTACTTATGATCTATTACATTTTTTGTGTGTTTTTTTTACTATATTTACATGTTTACTAATTCTATCTATACATTTCTTATTTACTTGTTTTGCTACATGTGTCTTATTACTATTTCTCTTAAGTTTACTTATATGCTAGTTCATCCTATCTTGCCCTTTTTCATTATCTTTAGTTTCTAATACTATCTCTGTTTTTTCATATATAACTGCTTTTACTCCTAAGGTCCCCTCCCGGTCGCCTTCCACTTTCTGAGTTTGAGTTGTTGCCTCCGGAACCCGGTTTGCCTTCGCAGATGGGGTTTCGAAACATCAATTTCTCTGCCTTCATTTGTTTTGGCCTCGTGGTTACCCTTGGCTTCCACTCGCACTCTCTCCATTGTTCCAGAATGGGGCCTCAGCAGTATTTCCCCTTTTTTTTTGTTTCGTTCTTTCCTCAGGAAAGTGGAAACAATGCCCGCTGTTTTCTATATCTTTTGTTACCTTTTTAAAAAATGTTTTTTCTATCCTATGTAACATTTCTATCTGCTTCTTTATTCCTCTCCCCATTCTATTTATGCCCACAACACCCTTAGCAATACGCCACCTTTGCCCTTGCGATTTTGTCCCAGATTAATCTTTGTGGGCAGTCATTGCTAAAGGTGTTGTGTTTAATCTCTTTTACCTCAGCCCTTTTGCAATTAAGGCAACTAGGCTCGGAGGCTTTATTTGGGCATCCGGCGTAGAAGTGCCCCCCCCCCCCCACAGTGGCTGCAGCTGTCCCGTGCCTCCCTGCAGACCCGTCTGATGTGACCATAGCCCAGACAGCGGGAGCACTGGATTAACGGAGACTGATCTTCCACAGCGGAGATTCCCCACTGTAGTTGAAGACTCCCCGCATCTTCGAGTTCGAGTTTTCTTTTTATCCCCTCTATCACTTCTTCTTTCTTTCTCTCTCCTCTTACATTCCTCACTATCACTAATGGATATTTATTTTTTGCTCTTTCCACTTTCAATATTTTGTTTCTTTCGATCTTCTCTTTCAATTACTCTGTCTCACTTTCCCTTGCACACCCTCACGGCGTCGAACACCTGGTCGCTCGTGAGCGTTTCGTCGGTCGACGCCACTATGATTGAGTGTAGTGTCTTGTTTTGGGGTGGAACGCTTCTCACTTTCTCCGCATACGTTTCTTCCTTTCTTTCTCTCTCTATCTTAGTTCCCAACTCAGTCAGTTTCTTTTGCTCTTCTTCCATTCGCTTTCCCGCTCTTTCTTGCATCTCTTTTATTACTTTCAATCTTCCCTTTCCTTCTTCTATTCCTTTATTATTTTCTATTATTATTTCTTTCAGCTTGTCTTGTTCCTCTTTCATATGCTTGCTTTCTTCAACTTGCGTACTCATCATTTTCTCTATCCTGTTTTTACTGATTTTCGATTCTTCTTTTTCCTCTGTTCGCTAGGTGCGCTTAAATGTGATTCATGTAAGTTGATTTTTCTGAGAGATAAACTTTTTTAATGTAATATAAATTGTCATGTTTGTGTACGACAGCGCAATAAATAAATATTGTGTTTAACCACATACAAGATAGTACTTTAATTCTGATATTTAAAGCAATTCGTGCAAAATTATTCCCTAACCATTCCAAAATATCAAAAATACACAACGTTAATATTCAAGTTTTCACTTCTGCCGGCACTCCCGGAGTGCAACCCGTCGTTTTTTTTAAAGCATAGGTTACCTATAGAAGTAAATTTAGCTTTGGATTTTCGTGGATCCACTAATAATAAATAAAAGGATTTACTCAGTTATGGTATATTATTAACGCCCAATTGGTTAGGAAACGATAAAGAAAGCAACATTTTGTAAAAAACCGGACAAATACGAGTCGGACTCGCCCGCCGAAGGTTCCTTCCAAATTTGAATGTATGCAACTAAACGGGCGTATCCCTCTTTAACGTTAAGTTAGAAGTTTGGTTTTTTCGAAGCTTTTTCACGTTCCTTGCGTGTTCGAGATAAAGGGTCTTGACAGACAAATAGACAACACAATGATCCTATAAAGGTCCCGTTTTTTATTTTGAGGTAACCCTAAAATACAAATATTTTTTAAATATTATGCTCGGCCTTTGTATGCACGTTCGGTTGTCACAAAATGAAATAAAATATAACAACATAAGATTTCTCCTAATAACTTGTCCGAAAGCGTTGATTTCAGAACTGATTATAGCAACAAATTTATTTAGTGTTTTTAATTTATATATTAAATTCTAATTTTCTTTTAATGAATAAAAAGTGTTTTATTTATAAACTAAAGATAATTTGCGTATGTATTATGGCCGTAAGTTATTTGTAAAGTTTTCTTTGAGTAGCTAAACATGCTAGCCTTTGTTAACAATTTAGTTTGAGTTCAGTTTAAAAAATCTTTTGCAATAGAATCATAAAGTTTAGCATATCAAGGATTACAATCTTGGCCTCTGATTTTGTGTGGAGAAAATATTACAAGAACAGTTCTGCTATTTTACCTGCTATCATTCATCTTATATTATGTAAGATAAAAATCCTTGTGTACAAAATAATAAATAGCTTGTTCCCAAATTCTTTTTCGCTTGTATCGCTATGCTAAAACTTAATAATCTAAAATATAAATAGAATCTAAAGGCATGAAAACGTAACAGCAATTATATATTAGTATCAGTTTAATTAACACGAAAAGATTCGGAAAAAGTAGCATAAACTTTTTGGAATAGTCCAAAACTTTGCTTAGCACATTTAAATTGAAAATATGTAGGTTATAAAATTCCTTAGATACGAAAATATTTTTAAATAAGAATTTCATAAAAAAAAACTGATGGGATAGTCCCAAGCGGTTCTCAGGAGGATTTTAATTAGGAAAAGTACCTACTGTGTTAATGTATTGTCTATGGACGCAGGGTGACCTATTCGGCGGGCTAAATGACGGACTGCTAAGTCGGGCGGAGGCACTCGCGGTGGACATCAGCAAGCATCAGTCGGGACCACAGCCGGGCCCTCCACTGCCGCAGCTCAAGCACGACATGGTCTACCACCACGGCGTCGGAGGCCCGCCCCCGCACAATGCACGCCCGCATCAGGTACATTTGTGGCTGATTAAAAAGCTAAAAAAGAAATCCGTGGTATTATAAAGTGGGTTACTATTGACCGGCCGCCGCCGGGCCCTCCCCTGCCGCAAATAAAGCACGACATGGTCTACCACCACAGCGTCGGAGGCCCGCCGTTCAATTGTGGCTATGGCAAAAGCTAAAAACACAAATTGTGAGCACGGACCACACATCTAAAGTGAAACTTCTTTTCTTAAATAACGTAACATTAGGCGGTGGAACAGCGCACGCATCACTCATATATATGTATATATATTGTCGCGTGTGACGCTCGTAGCATTTCAGCCTTCGCCGAGTTACCCTCCAACTTTCATGGTCGTCGGGAAGAGCTGCGTACGCATCCCACACACACACACACACTTGCGCTAGTGATTCCATTTCAATGTTTCCATAGGAGTTTTCAATTTAAACCGTGTCCGAAAAAAAATTCACTTAAAAAAACACGGTTATTATAAAGTACTTACTAGTGACCCACCCTCGCTTCGTCTTCATGAAGGTTTTTGTTCTCCGGCCAGTATTATACATAAAAATCTGCCTTTTGGATCATTCTATCTATTGCTGAAAACTGCATTAAAACCGTTGCGTATGTTAAAAGCTCTAAGCGTACAAATAGCGGGACCGACTTTGTTTTTAATATGTAAGTATGAGAGATACTCCATCTTCGTTTTAAAAACTAGAAACATTGTGGTATCTCCACCTGAAACTTATGAGAGAGGAAATAGCGGATTTACCGGCTAGAATAGCAGCACCGGTCTGGGGAAGTAAGTAAAGGCTAATCTTGAGATTCGGATTATTCAGTTGATTCCCTTTGCCCAATATATGTTTATACCTTTCTTATAAGTTATAAGGAAACATAAAACTAAACTTTCTTATATACATATTTATCGAGTAGGCATCACTTTTAGCGGACTGGTTTCAAGAATAAATCAAGTTACATTTTGTGAGACAGGGGAATCAAGATAAGACATCAATAAGATAATTATTTTTGAAGTTATACTTCTTTAGCCGCGTTATGAAAAAATTATGAGAGTGAAATTTTAAGATGCGCGCGCATCACTGTAACACAAAAGTAACATAATGAAGTTAGCCGCGGGCGCGTTATGAAAAAATGATGAGAGTGAAATTTTAAGATGCGCGCGCATCACTGTAACACAATAGTAACACCATGAAGTTGGCCGCGGGCGCGTTATGAATGTTAGTGTCATTATTAGACATCTGTTCGAAAGGTACTTTGAACGATCCACGGAGCTCCATAAGATGATCGCGTTGTCAAAAACAATGTTGGCACGCTCGTCGCCTCTGATCACTGTTTTCATATTTATAATATTTATCCACATGTTTCTAGTTTCTATATAGACACAACGTGTTTCAGTTACTTACAAGTGCTAATTACATATGGACTAATAACTTAAATTCAGTAGTGATTTTAATTGAATATTTTGAATATTTATTTAATTTTTCAAATTAAATCTGAACTTAATTGACTGTGTTAACTATCCTTTTCCAGTCCTTTTATTATTTTATTGTAATTATTAATTATTTGCATGCAATTAAAAAATATTTTTAATGATGCTAAAGAAGTATAACTTCTCACGAGCGTACATAAGTTACACGCATCCATTTTTTATTGAAGTTATACTTCTTTAGGCGCGTTATGAAAAAATGTTGAGAGTGAAATTTTAAGATGCGCGCGCATCACTGTAACACAAAAAATTAACAGCATGAAGTTGTTACTTTTGTGTTTACCGCACATTAAGAAAATCTACCAACAAAATAGAAATAGAATCTCTATTTAGTGGGTGCTAACGACTGCATTGTGAAGGTCTATCAAAAGTATTTATTAATCTGGAACAACGGAACCAAAGCGCGATTCAGGAGACTACAGCGCCATCTCTTGACCATTGGTGTAGTAGAACTAAAAACCACATCTTTATTTTTTGTAATTAAGTAACAGTTATAGGTATTCATATTTATAATATTTATCCACATGTTTCTAGTTTGTATTTTCGGAATGCGTATTTGAGTTTCATACAAGTGCAAATCACATATGTTCTAATAAATTATATTCAGTAGCGATTTTAATTGAATATTTTGATTATTTATTTATTTTTTCAAATTAAAACTGAACTTTATTGACTGTGTCCTTTTCCAGACTTTTTATTAATTTATTGTAATTAATTATTTGCATGCAATTAAAAACTAATTTTAAACGATGCCAAAGAAGGATAACTTCTCACGCGCCTACATAAGTACACGCACCCATTTTTTTATAAAACTAATCAGCCTTTTACCCTTAAATGATTGTATTTTCTACAGAAAATTTATACTTTTGAATTCGATATGCTATAAAAACGTGTTAATAAGTATTAATATAATTTACTCAGAACAAATCAGGAAAACGTTGATAACCTTGGTGAAATACCAAAGGGATCAACATCAATCAAATCAACAAAGTAGACGTTTTTATCGATTGTGCTAAAAGTAGCATATATTTCATATTTCTATTGAATAAAATATATAAACAGTGGTAACATGCAGCTATTGTGTTAACATCAAACAAAAATCCCGAAAATTCCAAACAAAACCAGGGGTATCAAATGTTTACCTTGTTCATTTTGTTCTTGATCAACGAGCAGCACAGCACAGCCCAGCAGTGTATGAAGCACTACTAGAGCTCACGCAACAAAGTGGAAGCTCTCCTCTAGAACATTTCATAAGGGGTGTACGCAGAGTATTGTGACGCGCCAGTTGAATCATCGAATAGGCCCAGACAAGCTTTATATTCTAATTCTATAGCTTAAACCGCATTATAATATATTTAATTTCCCTTAATAGGTTGGTGTTTTGCTAGTAGTTTATCCACATTAGTGATGTAACGAATATTCGCATCCGCTTTTGCATTCGCGAATATTCGCATATTTTTGAATATTCGCATTCACATTCGCATTCGCAAAATCTCTGTGAAAGTTTTGCGAATATGAATATTAGAGAAAAACAATTTGGAGAAATTGTTTTTGAATATTCATTGTAACACAGCTTTCATTTAGCTCGTTCTGCATCGCAAAGTGTCAAATAAGTCCATATTTCACTACTTTACTCATGTTAATAAATCACTATTCAAACTAATCTCAAAATTCACTCGTTATGTTTACGAAAAGACCGGCGCGAGCGGAATGACACTTCAGTCAGATGAGTTCATATCAACTCGGCAATTCGGATGAGACTGCCACCATGCCATAGACAATTGGCGCCAATCTTGAACAAAGACTAAATATTCGCATTCGCATTCGCGAATGTCGGTACCAGATATTCGCATCCGCATTCGCATTTGCGTATGTGCAAAAACTGACATTCGTTACATCACTAATCCACATAATGTGAAGCAGACGCGCCAGGGGATGTCAAATATTAGTCCTTTAGGATATTTTTTTACTACCTTAATAAGACACAATAATTATCGTACCCTCATTAGATCATGCATTATAGTAGCATGAAATAAATTGGATCCTTGTTTTAATATTATGAGTACTTTCTTCCACCGGACAGCGAAAATTGAGCCTCTCAAAATATACCCGTAACCTCCACCTTACAGAAGATCACAGTAAAATAATATGTTTGGTGGTGTTGTGTTTCTGACGGTAAGTAAGGTTCCAGAGCTCGTCGGGGTATGGGATTGGTCGCTAACCATACGCTTGTTGACCATCGTTTTAACATAAAAAGACAGTTTAATTAAAAGCTATTTGAACCGTAATTTATGAACTCGCTGAAAGTTTATATGTGTGTATATCCTATACATGTAGAAGTATATATATAACAAATCTACATTCAATTACAGTCCCCTGGTGCTCGAATATGACTGTTTTAATAGTTTGAACAGAGGTAGGATACTGTAAATTTATCTCCCGGATAGTAAAGTATCCTGTAAAGTAGGCACACTCAGTACAACTGACCTACCGCGTCTCTAGACTGTATCATTTTGACAATTTTGTGCTGTTTTGAAAGGTTTAACAAAGATTTTATAGGTACATAAACTGTTACACTCGTCTGGAAAAAGATCAACGTGCTCTGCTTTTCGCCATTTTAATTAAAAGTAGGAAACAGCAATTTCGTCGCCATAACACAACTGCAAACCAGCAGGAAGCGGACATAATCATTCTTGTTAATTAAATGTCCAAATGTTTAGTTTTTAATAAACTAATCACAGACTTCGCTAGTGAAGTCAAGTCATAATTATAATGTAATTCTGTTGGTAATATTGGACTTTCGGCAGGCATTTCGAAATTTCTGTGATAAGCTTTAGAGAGGGACTGGCCAAAATAAAACAAATCTGTAAGTAAAGCCAGCAAGTTAAATCTATTCCAGTATTTAAAAATATTACTTATACAATTGTATAGATATTATTAAATCTGTTTGACTAGTTGATATAATATATACGACCCGATAAAAGGGCAGCTAGCTAGATACCTATCGTCTATTAGTTCGCCCTGTAATTAAAATACTGTATGTGCAGTGCATTTCAGGACTGTGGGCTATTTCATTAGGTTAAACCGATATCGACGGTTTAAGCAAAAGCTATTACATTTTTGACTGTATTTAGGCAGATAATACCGATGTTTAATATTAAATGAACCTTTAGAGATGATATTTGAGCATTTGATTTTCTTCATTTATGCAAATATTTCAGTACATAATTAGGTTGACTACAAATAACATTGTTACTCTGATTAATTTTTAACGTTCATGTTATACGAAATACCCATTCACATACAGTATTCGCAATTAACTGCAAATTATTTAACCTTTTCCTGTAACGAAAATAAATTTAACTCAGTAGAATAAGTTTAACTGAGGGTTAATAAACTTTATTTATTAAAAACTGGACGAGTTTGAATCGGACTCGGCCACCGACGGTTCAGTACAAATTTGTAAGTACGCAACATACAAAGCCATATCGCGGACCAGGCAGCAGATTA